AAAAAAAAAAAAAAAAAAAAATCAAGAAATAACATCAGCCCATCATGTTACATGCATGTCCATTTGCAGACAACACCAATGCAGAAACTTTATTCAATACACAGATTTAGCCCCAGCCATTAAAACCCAAGCTACACACTAGAGTTCAGCACCTGAGTCACCTTAAAACCGAGGTACTCAAACTTGTCGCACAGAGTACATACATACACTACTGGATAACCAGATCTGCAGCATTAAGCGCAAATGTAACACAAATACATGCACAGAATTAAGTAAAAAACATGGGATTCGTCAAATCAAACACTGAAACAACCTAAATCTGGCCAGATCTAGAACAAGAAACTATTGAGAAATATGAATTTGCCCTTCGTTTTTCGCGCACACACATACACAAGGTCGTGGCGTTGATTTTGGCACAAACACAACTACACAAGCAACGCATTTTCAGATTGAACCTTCGATTCAAAACCATTTAAGAAAGGCTACAAAACCTATGGAGAAGGACTGCAAGAGTAAGAGCACCTTTGCGAAAGTGAGGGTTTGAGTTGGACTGTAGAGTGACCCTCACAAGTGCTGTGCTAGTGTGCTGCTGCGAATATGTATTTTAGTGGACATTGAAAATGGATGATATAGGCAAATAGCCAAAAACTAAAGGGCATTTTCGGGACTATTGGATGATATAGCCAGTAGCTGTCACTGCGGCTGCCAGCTAGAAAGAAGGTAGACATGGCCGCGGGCCGTACCGGCCCGACCCGAAAAGCTGCCTGAGAATCGGGACCGTGCTCTTGCGGTTCGATCTCGGTTCACACTTTTTTTTGGTCCCGGACCGGACCGGACCGGGCGGTGCCGGGACAGGGCCGATTCACGGGCCCGACCCTTGATTTTTGGTGGGCCGATCAAGGGTCACCTATGGGAGGCCCACCGGCCTGATCCGTTGACTGGCCATCTCTATATGTGAGATTAGGGATACTGTTGTGATACAAATATCTAGTTTTATTATATATATTTTTTAACTAAAAATTAAATCAAGTTTAATTTAAATATTATCAATGTAATTATAACTGATCATCTTAATACATCACATCACCTTCTATTTCTACATCAAATTAGCTCTAATTGCAAATTCAAGATTTCACTCAAAGCAAATTCAATCATCCTTTTCCCGAATTAACTCACTTTATCCAATAAATTTCATCAAATTTAAAATAACTTATATCCGATTAGACTCTATTGTAAGCAAACCTAACCAACTCATCCAATCAAATATGAAATAACTTGTATCCATCGACGATATTGCTATCAAACTCAACCAACCCAATTTTTTGTTCGTTCGACTATTAAAAGAGGTTAGTTTCATAATGCTTAAATAACAATCGAATGAGCTTTTATTCCCAAACATTAGTTTGTTAACAATCTTAAATAATGACTACTATGATTATCTTATTAACAACAAACTTATCTTTGTAAAATATTTGGAACTGCTAAAAGAGTAGTGAAACAATCATGGAGCTAGAATATTTTAATTTTTTTTTTTCAAATTAATTCTTCCATCAATAAACATGTTATTCGAACTGAATTGTTCACAAACAAAACTCTAGCTTAACTCGTGAATGCTTGGGATCTTCTCGTTTGAGCCGATTGTGAAGTGTGGACATCCAAACAATCTCGTTTGTTAATAAGTTGAATCGAGCTTGTTCACAATCAAAACTCAATTTTTTTTTTTTTACCCACGTTAAAATTGTTTTATTAACAATATAAGATGAAAGGTCATTAAGCCTTACTGAATTTGTAAAATATCTGGAAATGCTAAAAGATAGTAGTAGAACAATTATTCTAAGTTATCCAGATAAATTTTTATTTTTCTTTGAAAACTATTTTTTTCACTAATGTTATTCAAATTAAGTTGTTCACAAACATGACTCGAGCTCGGCTCTTGTTTATTAAATAAGTTGAGTGTAGCTTGTTGATATGATTCGAGCCGAGTGCGAATATCCAATCGATCTTGTTTATTAAATAAGTTGAGTGTAGCTTGTTGACGATCGACTCAAAAATTTCATACTTTTTATGAATTTTACATGAAATAGTTGAATCGAACTTATTATAAAATAATTGTTTAAAGGTTTATGTTTATTAGAACGAATCGAACTCGGGGTCCAGTACTATTGACTCATTTATTAAACGAACATGAGGTCTAATATAAATCGAATCAAATAACACCCGACTCAATGCGATCTCGTCGCCATCATTCTCCCCCGGTTGGAGAGGATTCGCCCTCGAATTCGAGGGGATCTCGTCGTCAGAGTTGTCGCCATGAAAAGGGACCAGGTATTTGACGTTGAAAACGTCGGAAGTGCGAATGTGTGATGGAAGGCGAAGGCGGTAGGCGTTCGGATTGATTTTCTCCACAATCTCCAAAGGCCCAATCTTTCGGGTCAAAAGCTTGTTGTACTCATGAGCCGGAAAACGATCTTTAGTCAAGACCGCCCAAACAAAATCGCTCACCTCAAACTCCACATGGCGCCGCCGTCGGTCGGCCTGCTGCTTGTACGCGGCCGTGACATGCTCGAGACGGGCCTGAGTCGTTGCATGTGTCCGCCGCAAATCGGCCATCAAGTCCTCAGCCCGCTTATCAGCATCCCCCGGGCCCGGCAACGCCAATAAAACAGTAGGTCCACGTGGCTGGACGACATAAACGATCTGAAAAAGGGGAGAAGCCCGTGGCCCGGCTCACCGCCGAGTTGTGAGCAAATTCCGCCTGAGGGAGGCGGCTGTCCCAACTGCGCACATTCTCCCCGACCAAGCAGCAAAGCAAATTCTCAAGAGACCGATTAACTACCTCAGTCTGCCCATCAGTCTGAGGGTGATAGGCGCTACTGAAATCAAGGCGAGTGTTCGTCATCCGCCAAAGGCTCCGCAAGAAACTCAGAAAACGTGTATCACGGTCCGAGACAATAGACGAGGGAAGGCCATGCAGCCGATAAATCTCACGAAAGAGGAGCTGGACTACATGAACCGCGTCCGTCGTGCGCTTGCAAGGAATAAAGTGGACCATTTTAGAGAAGCGGTCCATGACCACAAAAAATGGAATCAAACCCCCGCTTAGTGCGAGGCAACCCAACAACAAAATCCATGCTGACGGCACACCAAGGTTGAGTAGGAATGGAGCTCTGATACCAACTGACGCAGGAGAAACGTACGATGGAAAATTAAGAACTCACAAAAAGAACTCAAGAGATAATTTATTTCATTCAACGTCTGCTTTACAATGAGAACTCGTCCCCCTTTAAATAGACTTCCCAACCCTAGTTTTACTTAGTAATAGATATCCTAAACAATAAATAAATGGAAATAAATAAAAATAAATAAAAAGTCTATAAATAATAGATAACTAGATACGAAGGCGATCAAACTTGTCCAGATAAACCAATGCGATCTCGTCGCCATCCGTTGTTATCTTAATTATGATAGTATATTACATGTTGAACTTAATAAACAATTTTGCTTGTTTCCTTTGGACCACAAACAATTTTTTCACGTAAATTAACCTTGAGTATGACAGTGTAAGTTTACAAAAATGAGATAATTTGACAAAATTAAACAAAACGTGTCATGTGAATATAAAAAACAAAACAAAACAAAAAGCGAAAATCTCGAAAATGGATACCAGCAGGATTCGCGGACTTGTTGGCCATCACATATATTTTGCATCAGGAGATGCACATGACACAGATCCCATCTTTTTTATTTTAATTTTATTACAATTTTTAAGAATATATATTAACAAATAATTGGTGGATTATATTAGTTATAATCAACATTATTGCACGATTATATTGGTTATAATCAACAAGTTTCGCACGTATATTAATTTATTAATAATAATAATGATATATCGTGCACGTTAACGAGGGTAGTTGGATATTTAATTTTTTTGGTTTTGATTGAATTTTTTTATTTGGTATTGTTAATTTTATAAAAATGTGTACGGTTAGTTGTCAAAACATTATAAACCACCTTTAGTATAAGACATGATATTAAAACATAATTAATTTTTTAAAAAACAATATATTAATATAACTATCTAGTATGTATATTTATGGATATTTCATACTTAGTAATTTTTGAATTGTAAATAAATTAGAATCCATCAAATTCCAAATGACAAAACATGAAAATTTTTCACGTATGATTCCGAAGAATGCGAGCTTCCCACTTAATCTCAATAGATTAGAGAATTATACATATAAGGATTGTTGTCCGTAATAATTACAACTTACAAGTTGACAATGATGTACGAGTAATATTATTTTTGGCTTTATTATTTTCTTGTTTGACAAATCTCTCTTTATATATATAAAGAATGATATCTACTAAAATAAGTGTGTGCATTACATGATTCATCCCTTAGCATATTCGATACACCTACGGATTTACCTGACGACTCAGTCGATCGGCACAAGCCGATCCATCGCGACCCTATTCTTGGTGGCGATCCCACAACTGCCTTCACAACCGTCGGTGATCCCACTGCAATCGATATAGTATTCTGACTCGACGATCCTTTATTCGTCTTCTTCAATTTTTGGATCATCTTCTTTTATCCCTATCTACGAGGTAAGACCGGCCACCTATCATCGGGTAAAACACTACAGATCGTCCAATAAATCCACAATACAGAAAATAAAACGTAACACCAACAAAAAGACATTCAAAAGTTCCTAAAAATTTCCTGGGTTGATCGACGCTTTGTCAAACTCCGTGAGCCAATTATTCACTCTCGCATATATATCGACTACTTTTTTCCTTGACCGACAACTTCAGAATCTCTTCCAACTTCTCCTTAAAGATCTCATCTACGGGAGGTGTAGTCTTGTACGTTGTACGGGCAAGTAACGAATTCATTTACAAGCAACAATAGACGATCCCTCTTTTTAAAGATCGATAGAACACTTACGCATTTCTCTACAGAACCGGTCGGCACATACACAAAACAACCAAATGGGCGACGAGTTTTCCACTCTCCCCATACCAGAACCACTCTTATCTCCACCCATGCCGGGATTCAGTATTCTCTTCACCAAACCAAATTGGCGTACTTCTTATCGCAAAGTGCTAAGTGAAAATATTCAAAACCCCGACTTCGAGTCTTTCCACGTGTAAATGGAATCCATTTCTTCCATAATTGGACACGAGATATATCATCTATAATTATCCATTAATTAATCGTGCATCTAATTTGATTGGCCCTTCATATATTTACTACACCTTTTGAAAACTATTTTTAGAAATGTGAATATTATAAAAAATAATATAACATAGAAAAAAAATGAAAAAAATAGCATAAATGATTTTGTAGGTGAATCACATATGTTTTTTAAGATTATTGTAAGAAAGATAGCACATCGGCTATGGCCTATGTTGGAAACACCATATTGGGTCCAAAGCAGAGATGCCACATTTGAGTATTCTGGGCCGTCATATGTGGGCTTGGGCCGCCTTTCTAAGAGCACAATGATGAGGTAAAGACCAACCTGCCACGTGTTTTGACCCTTCTAGTATTTTTTTCCTTCGTAGCCGTTGCAACTTCGATGGTCTCCAAAGAGCCCTTCGTTCAGCCTTTTCGACGCGAACAAAACCCGAGGGCCTTTCCGTCATTTCAGCCTCTCCCACCTTCATCTTCATCTCTAGAAACAGTGCGAAGCTCTCTCTCTCACACACACTCACACTCATTCCACGCACCACATTCTCTCTCAGGGTACTCAAGATTTTCCGGCCATGGCTTCTTCTTCCTCGGCCGCGAAGCCGGAGGAGACAGGCGGCGGAGAGATCTCGGAAGCGCCCCCGCCTCCACCACGGCCGCCGCTGGGCGGCGGCGATCAGATTTTGTTGTATAGAGGTCTGAAAAAGGCGAAGAGAGAGAGGGGATGTACGGCGAAAGAGCGCATCAGTAAGATGCCGCCTTGCACCGCCGGCAAACGCAGCTCAATTTATCGAGGGGTCACCAGGTACGCCGACAATCGAACGCGTGGTGCACATCTTTTAGCTGATTGTTTTGTGTGTGTATTGGGTGCTGAAATTCTTCACAGTGCTGTAACTGAAGTTATAGGCACGAGAGTCCATCGCCATAGCTGTTAGAGCTTGGTACAACCTTTGAAGCGGGAGGCACTATTTACTTGCCTGTTCTCTTACTCTTGTTTTTTTCACTTCTTTCAACTGTTGTTTTGATGATTAATAGCTATTTTTGCTGTTGTGCCTTTTTGTTCCCTCAAGAGCAGGCATAGATGGACTGGTCGGTATGAAGCTCATCTTTGGGATAAAAGTACCTGGAATCAAAATCAAAACAAAAAGGGAAAACAAGGTTGGTGTGCTTATACATATGAATCCTTGTCCAAGTGTTATTAATTCGATTTTCGATGTCGTGAATCGAGGCGATGATCTTATTTGTCTCTTGTTTGGCTTTTTTCTGTTATCGACATCTTTTGGGGAATCGAATGCTGGTGCCCTGGTTATTATGGACAGTTTACTTGGGTAAGTAATTTGATCACTTTATGTTTTCGGAGGAACAAAAGGGGTAACAAGGACTTCATTCTGATGTTGTTAGTTCAAAATCGCGTTAGGTGCATATGATGATGAGGAAGCTGCAGCAAGAGCTTATGATCTCGCAGCTCTTAAATATTGGGGCCCAGGAACACTCATTAACTTTCCTGTAAGAAGTTTGTGAATGTTATTCTTGCGATTGAGTTTGTTTTGCATCTGCATTGCTTTACGAATCTCATGTTTTTGTAAATGGTAAATGATTTTATTTATGCCTTTCCAAGGCCTGAATTTACATTTGCTTTTACTTTTTATGGGTCTGTACAGGTGACAGATTATAGTAGAGACCTTGAGGAAATGCAAAATGTCTCGAGGGAAGATTATCTAGCATCACTTAGAAGGTTTGTATAGCGATTTTGTTCATTCTAATATACGATTTTTTTTAAGGCATTCCTCTTAGAATTTTAGTTCTTACATGTCATATCCTTTACAGGAAGAGTAGTGGTTTCTCAAGGGGTATGTCAAAATATCGGCCCCTCTCCAGGTATTCTACCATGCAATTATCCAGTACTTTTACAAGTTAATGAATAATGATAATAGCTAGTACACTGCACAAATATCCTTTTTGCTATTTATCATCTGAAGTCTTTATGCTTATAATTGAACGACCGTGTAACTGATTTTTTCGGCTTCTTTTCTCATCATTTTGCTCTTTATAACTTTTCGAATTCAATGTAGTCGATGGGATTCCCAGTTTGGCCAGGGGCCTGCACCTGACTACAACAGTGAGTTCTATGGTGAGACCAACTTTGAGTTCTAACTATAGCCTCATTTGTTTTTACGCTGAACAAGAATCTGAATTTTCTTCCTTTGACCTCTTCTCCTCTGACAACAATTGAGGGTACAGGTGATGATGTTGCTACAGGAAGTAGTTACTCCACCGAACGGAAAATTGACTTGTCCAATCACATCAAATGGTGGGGGACAAATAAATCTGGTCAAACCGACTTCCGTTTAAGGGCCTTAGATGAAACAAACATTGGGTTTCCCGATGATGTTGCTAGTGAACTTAAAGATTTAGAATGCTCCGCCGGCAAGCCCACCGAACCATACGAAATGCCTCGGCTAGGCTTTCCTCCCGAAAGATTGAAGCACAAAAAGATATCTGCTTTGAGCACTTTACTCAAGTCGGATGCGTACAACCGCCTTCAGGAGAAAGTATCGAAAAATAAAGAAAAGGATGAGAACAATGAAAATGAGAACAAGAACAATATATTATTAGACAAAATTGAGGTTGGAAAAACGGCTGACAGAACATGCCATGATGTAGGAAGTGAGCACGGTGTGGCATTTGGATTTGGCGGAGGATTATCTATTCATAGGAATGCTTACCCTTTAACCTCTCTTTTGTCCGCTCCACTAATTACCAACTACAATGGTCTTGACCCATTGGCTGATTCTGCTCTTTGGAGTAATCTCATTCCTGTTCTCCAAACGGGCCCGGGATCTTCACACACAAATGAGGTCTGCTATTCTTATGCCGAGTTTATTTTCATATGATTGAATATGCATTTGTGAATGCTGATAAATATGATAAATTTTGATTCAGGGCTGTGTGAATATTTTCAGCTTATGTAATGTTTGATTAAGGTCTAAAATTCTTTATAGGAGACCCTGATGTGTTTTTAAATCATGGAGAGGATAGTAAGTTTAGGTGTTTTTTATTTTTTGGGTGTGATTTTAAGAATCTCAACAAAGCAAATCAACTTGTGCAAAATCAGAGAAAATTTTGGATTCTTTTAAAAAAAAAAAATTGGTTGCATATTTTTAGGCATGAAAAAGCGCTGAAAATCATGTGCAGGTTACCAAAAATGAGTCGAGCCCCGATTATACTTTCTTCCATCAAGGGGATTAAGCATCACAAATTGTCGGCTTTCAGTTTTGATGCTTCCCGAGTGATCGGTTGATGAATAGTGGTGGAGTTTGGATATGCACAAGCCGAGCAACGTACCTATTGAGCTCCTTTGTTTCATAGTAGCTTTTGAGCAGAAGATGGAGGCGCATTTGAAGCATACTTAGATTTATACAACATTTTATAGCTTTTTTGGCATGCAGACAACACAGGCAGAGAGTTTATAGAGGGTTTTCAGGTTTTCGTAAACTTTTATTACATTTGCTTTTTTTTTTTTTTTTTTGTTTTAATTTGTCGTTCTACACGATATATTGAATATAATACTTCATTGTATAGTTAAAAATGCTTCTTTTTTTTTTCCAGAAAAAAAATCAGTCACGCTTTATTCTCTCATTCAATTCAAAATTAGTGTCCTGCAATTCGACTGAACAATGCCTTCAAACCAAATCACTCTAGCTCAGCAAATTATAATATCCTTCTTCATACAACTTTTTTTCATGCTCACTGAGTTAGTAAGCCTAAAACAGAATAGATATAACACATCTTTCAACAAAAAAAAATATTATATGTCCCTTTTCAATCTCTGCTTTTATTCAAAGCAACAGCAAGGTCTCGAAGCTCCTCAAACGCGTGCATTGTCTCAGAATCAAACCCCCCAGCAAACTGCACGAATTGTTTCCAGTCACAAACCATTGGAATACGAGTGACGAACAAAAGATCTTACGAAAAAGTGTGTTTAATTTCAAGTATAAATCTAACCTGATGAATTCGAAAAGCAAATCTTACGCCCTGAAGTAACATATAATCCAAGGACGAATCTTTATTATTATCGGGTGGTACTCCTCCTCCTCCTCCTCCCTTGGACTGAAGTTCCATTGCCACTCTCTTCATGTACATTTTAGCCAGTTTTACCGAACCAAACTTTATCTGCCATAATTATCGAGCCAATCTATTAAATTGCCGAATATTTATCAAGAAAGAGAATGAATGAAAATAATAAAGCGCCATTAGTCACATACGAACCTTGCTTAATATTCCCATGTCCAACATCCAGTCTGTCGGGATGTGGAACTCCTTGCAGTGCCTCATCAGTGAATCTCTTGTTCGGAGGATATCATGCACAGTACGTTCCATTCTAATGAAAAGATCAAAATGTTAAAAAGAAAAACGAAATCATTCGTGTTAACAGAAAACCGAACCTTGTCACTTATGAAGTCTTACCTTTCGGACAAAGCTGCAATTTTCTTTAATGCAAGGTCACATGGCAAATGGGGATCATCTTTGTAATTTATAACTTCTTGCTCCAACTTTTTCAGATCTCTATATCCAAATGCCGCCTCTCGTAAAGTGTCCGCTTTCTTTTCCGGCCATTCAAAGTGTTTCAAAACTGCCCTTTCATCCACCTGTAAGAGCAAGTCAAACCGAAGAAGATTAATTAATGGCAACACACCATTTCAAAGCTGTAGTTGCTCAATTTCGAAAAATAAATAAATGTAATGAAATCGAACCAGAAAGCAGAGTTCATCATCAAGCCACTTCACGAACGCAACAACATCCTCAATATTTCGATAAACCGCGCTGTTGACTTCTTGTATTAGAGAGTTCACAAATTCTCCTTGAGTCTCAACATCTGCCTTTATCTACTCGTATGAAAAAAAAAAATCATTTTAAGTTATATCATTCACACATACAAAAAGAAAAATTCCTACATTTTATTATTTTTCATATGTTTGAGAAAAACAGAACAACAAGCACTAACCGCAAGCAAATGAGACGAACGGTTCTCTATTTCGTCTATCATGCTACTCCGAACATTCGCTACACTTAATTCATCCGTAGTCCCCGAAGAACTCAAGCATTCCTTTCTCGATTCTCTCTTCATGAGTGAGTGGTAAAATTCGACTACTTGTGGGGCTCGCTGAACTTTCCCGCCCGTTGTGGCCCGAGCCACCATTAGTCTTTGAGCAGGTGGTGGGGGTGGAGGTGGCGGAGGAGGAGCTGAAGGGGGAAAACCCGAAGAAGCCAAAAAAGTTTCTTGCTTTATTAATTCTCCTGAATCACTACAAGAAGGTCTTGGAGGGGGATTCGGAATTCTCAAAGCCCTTTTTTTCTCAACAACGTCTAAGGGTGTGTTTGGTTCAATGGAGGGGAAGGGAGGGGAGGGATTTTAATGGAGGGAAAGAGAGGGGAGGGGAGGTGATGTAAAATAATTTTACCTTGTTTGGATTGATTATTTAGGAGGGGAAGGGAGGGAAAATGGTAAACCTTGTTTGGTTGATGAAGGGAAAATAAACTAAAATGACAAATTTACCCTTAATGAAATAAAATAAAAAATTAAAAACAATTGAAAGTAGGGGCTAAAAGGTAATTTTATATCATCAAAAACCACTTCCCCTCCAAATCCCTCCAATTTTGGAGGGGAGGAAAAGTGGGGGAGGGGAGGGAAAATCACTTAAAATTTTCCTCTCCCTCCCCTCCTAATTTTTCAACCAAACAAGTGAAAATTAAAATTTTCTCTCCCCTTCCCTCCCCTCCCCTCCAAATCCCTCAAACCAAACAACCCCTAAAGAGGCCGTCGAATAAACTTTTCGGGTCCGGTTGCTTACTACTTCCAAGTCGTACTTTTCCGAAACTAATGCCTCTTTCGAGCATATAAAACTATTCGAAATTCTCTTTTCATTATTAAATGCTAAATTTTTAGGACAGCAATTTGTTCCACTGATAGAGTGCCTTCTTGCCGAACTCTTTGTTTCGTCCCACGTAAAATTACGGTTCTTTATTTGTTGCAAGTCTTCATCGGTAATCGGCCATTTTTTGAATTTTTTTACAAGGTACAGCTGCCTCTTAGTGGCCGTGTTGTTGCTGTCATCAGAATCTTCATCAACTGGATAAGGCGAAAAGCAAATGGATTCGGGGCTTGATGATGGCTTGTCAGAAAGATTGTTGTTAGAACAATTCCTTAATTCATCTCTTAAACATGAGTTGACCCATCTCAGATAAGCTAGTTCTTCAACTTCGTTCATCCGACTTATTTGAAGACCTTCGACTTGCTTGCTAAGGTCTTCATTGGTATGCCTTAGTAAAGAGGCCTCTGCCTTAATTTTCTCCAGACTGTCACTCTACAATTTCAGACAAACAAACAATGTGACTTGTAAACATGTAAAAGAATATACAATTATCAAAGAATATACAACAACTTTATGATCCAAGAATATACAATTATCAAACTTGCCCGACTAAAATAAAGCTTTACAATGACATTTGATCTATGATAAGGCTATGTTTGGTAACCAAAAAAAGCTATAGCTTATAACTTATTTGGTTAGCTTATAAGCTTCTTGTATTCAAATAAGCTTCGTTTGGTAGGACTAGCTCTTTAAAAAGGTTGAGCTTATATCATAAGTTTTTTCTTTGGGTAGCTTTTCTAATAATCACGTTGAAATTTTTATTTCAACTAGTTTATCGTCTAGTTTTACCAAACACTTTTATCATATAAGCTAGTTTTACAGTTACAAGTCATAAGTTATAAACTCGAAAAATTTTTATAACTAGACTTATCAGCTATCAACTAGTTTTACCAAACTTAGCCGAAAACCACAACTAAAACAGTGAAAGAAAAAACAGGGTAAAACAGAAAATAGCAAACAATAGGCTGTGATACCTCATAAATTTTAGAAAGAGCAGCTAACTGGGCTTCCAATGTGGCAATCCTGCCAGAAAGATTTCTCTTTTGAAGCTGCAGCTCCTTGTTCAAGCGCCTCAACTCTAAAACCTCCATCTCCACACTACTCAAATCATCATCATGTGCCTCAGTTATCAAAATCTCTTCTTGCTTTTTTCCCATTACAGGACTCAAGGCCTCAACTTGCGACAAAAGATTCGCCTTTTCGCCTTCGAGCAATCCCACTTTCTTGAGAAGGCCATTAATTTCAATCCTTTTCGATTCAAGCTCCCTCTCGACCTCCTTCTTCTTCTTACACTCCGAAAGCTCAGCTTGCAAACTGACCTCCCTGTCCTTGGATTCTTGCAGCAAGTTCCTCAGGTGATCGATTTCGAGAAAAAGATCCTCGGAAGAAGCTGTAAAAGATTTAGTCTTGTTGTGAGCAGTCTTCTGCGGGTGCACTTGGGTAGCGTTTATCGAGCACGAGAGGTCGCCAATGAGGGATCTTTTGATCCTCGAATTTGAGACCAACTGCGGCTGATGATTATTTCTTTGGTTCGCCACATCAGAGCCGGTGAGCGGCGGTTTTTTGGTCTGAGCTGTGACGTGGACTACTCTGGTTTTGGTCTTTTTGTCGCCTGAAA